AAGAACACAAATTGGCAAACAAACTCGTTTTCAATGCCTATTAATCATTCCATTACAACACATTAAATATGACCATATAGTAACAGAGAAGGACTAAAGAAGGAAAGTAATTAAAGCATTTAACAGTTTGTGGCATAATTGGTCTCCAATGATCATTTGCTCCGATGTTTCATGACAGGCAATCCGGTCATGGGAGCTTGAGTGCTTGCACAAATTGTTTCTAAGCTCACAGAGGGGGGGGGCGGGGGGGGGGGGCNCCATAGACCGTCCCGTTTTAACTCCATACAGGGGTCCAAACACTTCGGTCACGTTTACAATATGATTAGTTTTGACAAAATGCGACACGATCGCACCTGTGATTGACTTAATTGTTCCAGTTCGCAATCACACTGGATGATGCTAACGGATGCACTCGGATGGACGCATGGTCGTGCGACCAACATACCGTGCTCCACAGGAGTAAGTGAAAGAGTAAATACAGCAAGAGGCAGCAGCATCGGGTACTCTATCCTTCAACCGTAGATAGATCAACGGGCTATAGATGTGAATCGAGTTTGAAGCTTAGCCTCGTAGAACATTTTTTATGGCATTTGATAAATTTCTATGCACAATCTCTGACTAGGTAACGTCTTTAAATGGTAAAGAAATGTACACAGACTCCTTCTCAGCAATAGATCTTTTGGGAGACGCCTCTTATCGTTGCATCACAGATTACACCAAACACTCCGGGTATCCATTCCGGATGAAGATATTCCACACATTTTGGAGTTCCTCAACCAGCCTATCCTTCGGGTAGATCCTTTTAGCTCTATTGGTCAAACAGCGTATGAAATTCTTCTTCATACTGAGTGGTACAAAGCTACGGAAATCCTTTTCTGTTACTAGTCATATTTATTGTGTTGTAATGGCTTGATTAAGTGACACTGTAGACGAGCTTGTTTGCCAATTTGTGTTCTCAATAAAATGAAATTACCAAAGGATTATTCAAAACAAAAGTGGCTTCCGGACTTGCCAAACTAAAAAGGATTACCTGTTCGGTTAATGTCCATTTTTGGGTGCCCGTTCCGACCCACCCACCCGGCAAATGCATACCAAAAGCGGTTTTCCGAATACAAGAAAAATGCATTATAATTTCAAAAGAAGTATGTGTGTGTGTGTGTGGATGGATGGATGGAAAAAACAATGTGAAGGACATTTTCCCGATTTTAGAAGGTTTCATCTGAATTGAATTGGGTTTATTTTAATTTTATTCTTTAACGAAAATGTAGTTTTTCCAGATAAGTTTCAAGCAGCATTGTTTTTATGATGAATCACTTGCAATTCATTCAATCTTTTACCACTCAAAATGAATCAAGTAAAATGCTCAGCGATTCCAACACAGTCCAATTGGGCCGCTTTACGTGTGTGTGTGTGTGTGTGCGTGTGTGTGTACATCAAACAGTTGGTACCAGTCTTGGAAGTGAGAGTCAACAACTGGCTATAGTAGGGAGTGGTTGCCATCTCATATATATATATATATATATATATCAAGAGAGAATGGAGGCGTACACTGAGTTGTAAAATGTTCATTGTATTATTTATTATAATTATATGTATATATCGTGCGATTGTTTTATCACATCGACTCGTGGCTCACACTTGCGTCGCTCCCCTTCGGATCCATTGCGGGGCACAGACCCTGCTCATCTCAGCACTAGCCTCCGGGTTATGACTCGGTTGAAAACATTCGCAACCTGACTACTTATTTCAAGTGAGCGATGGAGGATTTTATTCAATTTCAAAGGTGAATTCGTCGCGTACATAGCAAATGAAGCGTGAACTGAAAAACCGGGAAGCACTAGACAGCTGTTTCGACCTGCTTGGGTCTCATGCGAGCAGTTCGAATTCATCGACCCAACTGAGGATCGAACCCGGAATTTCATGGGTAGAATGCATGCGTGCTACTCACTCGGCCACCGGGCAGCTGATCAGACCGTTTTTCATTTTCCATTCACACGATATAGCAACAAACCAACTTTACGAGCTTGTTGCAGGCCACAGACCGTGCTCATCTCTATATCGTGTAAATGGAAAATCCCTGATCATCTGCCCGGTGTCCGAGTGGGTATCATGCTTACGTCCTGCCCGTGAAGTCCCAGGTTCGTTCCCTAGTTGGATCGATGAATTCGCATTGCTGATGAGACCCAATCAGGTCGACACATTNACGAATTCCCATTTGAAAGCCAAGATTATCTCATATAGAATCCTTGTCTTCCTGTGGCCGCTTCACGAGTCCGATATGAAATGAACTGATGATGTGAAGGTGATGAGCAGATAACATATACGGTTTTGCACAAAGCCATCATCCACACATCAGAATCACCGTTTTCCATCGAGGAATTTCTACTCTTACGAAATGAAANCTAATTGTGTATATCTGGCAGGATCAGTTTCACCTCAAGTCAGATTTTTCTTTCTCAACAAGCGATTATTGATCGGGTGAATGAAGATACTTGGAACTTTGTCAAACTAGAGAACAATGTATCACGGAAACGACGAACTGATAACAAGGGAATATATAAATAAACTAATGCACTCAAAATTGCATGCATTTGTATCCAATCCTTTGACAGAGGGAAACATCAATATTACAATGATTATGATTATCTCATCAAATAGTCACCGATTGGACTGTATGAAATCTGTACCAGGTGCAATCGACGGGCACAGTATCGAACAATTTGATGACAATTTACGTGGGATATTTTCCGAGTAAGTTACTAAAGAATGAAGTTAATGGAACTGTATGATCGTCTGTCCATGTCGATCTGTCGTTTGATCTCTATTTCAAATTTCTTTTTCGTTGAATAATGTTAATAACAGACTATTGAGCCTTCCCTATGGGGTTGGGTATCTGTTTTAAGTTGTGCACACGTGTCCGAATTGATTCGATTACAGATTATAAAAGTCCCGCTCAGCATAATTCTTCATACCAGTCTGTTCTAGCCTTCTGAATTCGTGAAACTATATGAAGTGGGGAATTCCATGACACTCGACCAGTAAGAAACAGTTCTATTTACCATAGTTATCAATGGAAAAAACTATTTTTAAACATGTTTTTACTACACATGGTATGATGCACAATCAAAAGAGCGAACCTAACAGTTACCCAACAGTGCTCATTGTTGTTCCAATATGGTAATCGACCAAGTAAACCTAGAAAATCGCGTTATAGATCTACAATGCCGTACTGTACGCACAATGGTAAGGGTATCGATTAATGGGTGTACATACAACAGAATGTCTCATTGTGAACGGGTTATTCAAACAAGCATTCAGGATAAATAATGGGGGGAACGGCCCCTCGGTGGATTTGAATTTTCTATAGTTACAATTTTGAACACAATAATTCACACTAGGAGGTCTTGTCCATTTTCGACGATTGTGAAAAAAGTCAGACTTGTCCTTTTGCACACACCACAACCATACTACTCACATTTGTGAGTAGTACCTCACAATGCTTGGACCGGTAAGCCATTTAATGCTCTAAGCGAGCGTTCAGGTGTGAAGGAATCATGTACACAGCGAATTCATTGGGTTCACTGTGGATATAAACCGGGTAATTTAATTTAATCCGGAAACTCATTGTTGAGTTGAAAATTCAGCATCGGTCAACCCGTTTCTTCCACCTTGAATTGTCTGTGCATATATAGCGACGGAATTTTGTTCGTTCTGTCTTGGAACTTTCATTGGTCGTGAAAAATAAACAGTTCACAACCAGACCGCATACGCTTGGTGAACATCTCCTAAGTGCTGAAGGATGTTGCTGAGCCCGATTTTGTGAATTGTCAACCGGCCCACCTTATCCTCGCTTAGCCAACCAAACCCTCACAGCGCAAATTTCCACCCGGATTTTCGGGCTTTGTTTTGATTTGTGTTATATTAAAAATAATATTTTGGTGGTGGTGGGGTGGGGTGGGTTGGGGTGGGAGTGGGGTGAGAGTGGGGTAAGGAGTCAATTCCCGATTGATAGATGAACAACATTAATGGGCTTTATTAGGAGTGAAACTCGAGTCCGTAGCTTCGTGACAATATATATGGTTGGTTCGATGAGCTGCTCAGTGTGCTCGAAAAATAGGGTCTGAAAGAGGAGGATCTATAACATTCATGCCGAATAACTCTCTGCAAGTCACAAATCGCAAGATTGCCTAGGTTTATTGAAGCGATTGCTATGAATCGATAGGAAGCCCTCCGCCCAACTCCGTGCCAGGTAAAAAGAACTTTATGTTAGCCTGTTTCTCGACCCTGGTGATATGGTCCTTTTTAATCTCCACCCCTTGTGTTTTTACTGTTTTAATGTATTTTGCTTTATTTTGTTGCCATGCTACAGCTGGATATATAAACATTGTATTTAGACTGCGGTATGCACCATGTTGAGATGCAACGAAATCGTCCTAGACCTAAAATCGTGCACTATTGCAACATGATATTTTCTTTGAAAACTCTCTTTTTATTACAGAAAAATTGAAAATACAGTATGTGCAGCTAGTTCTCGGTCAACTGACGTGAACTCGTTACACAGTTGACTGGCAAAAATTGGACAGAAATGTACAAAATTGTGCATCATATCTGTTCGGAATTATTAGTACTGCGCGTTAACCAAGCTCGTTCCAGTTGGAAAACAAAATGTTGAGGTTATGGGGTTTACACGCTAACACCAGTCTGACTGTCGTGAATAGCCATCACAAAGATTATGCCACGAAGAACATGTGAAGATCTGTTCAATTCCTTTTCTATTTATTCAGTATACAAATTTACAGTCAACGTTGACGAACAGGGCTGCGGTCATACGAAAGCTGCACGGGAAAGTACAGAAGCGGGGCAGATGGATAGCGATGGACCGGATTGTACCCGGGACTTCTAAGTCAATATTTTATGACCTTAATCCTTTGACCACCACCACCACCAACACCACCACCAGCACCACAAACACCAGCACCACAAACACCAGCACCACAAACACCAGCACCACAAACACCAGCACCACCAACACCACCATCACCAACACCAACACCACCGTCACCACTACCAACATCACCATCATCATCACCACCACCATCACTATCACCAACATTACGATCACCACCACTTACACCATCACCAACACCACCATCACCACCACCAATACCACCACCAACATCACCGTCACCACCAACACCAACATAAACTTCACCACCCCCAAAATATTTCAGTGCATCCTGTCACATTGACCTTTGATTCGTAAGATGTTGGGGAGCTAGAGTTTACTCATAGTAGTCTTTGGTAGTTGTGGTGATCCGGGCCCGCAAGATAACGCATAGCCTGGAGCAACGCGTTACAGATTTTGGACAACTGTGCTCAATCAACCTTCACGGGTGACGTCAGTAAAGCGCGTACGTGTCACACTACATCTAGACTACATACCATAGGTAGAGTATACCAGCCAAGTGGATCAAACGGACTGGTGCTGTTGATGAGACCTAATCTGGTCGAAACAGATGTACAATGTTTCCTAAACTTTTGTTTCTCGCCCTGTTTGCTCTGCGCAGAATGAAATTAACAAAAAGGAATAGATCAAATCTTTCCCTATGCTCATAACGAAGAAAATTCATAGACACCAAGCCAGCAATCTCTGATGTGTCGTAGGCGTGAATCAGAAAAGGTTCTCTTTGTGGTTCAGACGCAGGTCAAAGCTCCTGGTTCTCTTGTTCCCGTAGGATATTTGCACGTTTGAATCGTTCCTAGGCGAAAAAAATCAATTATCACATAGCTTCAGGTAGGAGACAACAGATAATGTAAACTTCAATGCATTTGCGATTATTATTACTTGTGTAGTCTCCGCTTAAAAGATTCAATAGCTGGTGCACAAACGACGTGAGATGGGTGTTTCAAGTACTGCGTACTCTAACTTCAAAAGATTTGCGCTGGCATTCCAATGGATACTTTGGAATCAGTAACTTGAAACGGTGTCCGCTAAGGTGTATATTGTTCAACAACGAGAGCAGAGGCCGACATGGATGGTTTGGGTTCTGTAGTATTTGATAAGTCAAAATCAAGTCTCCCCGAATTCGGCACAATGATCGTAATCTCTCCTCATAGTTGAGATAGTGTAATCCCTTGACCATCTTGGCGGCCATCTTTTGTGGACGCTCTAGCATCTTGCGATCACATTGCAACCATGTGCCCCTAAGCTTGAATGGCGTACTCTATGTACGGTCCAATGTAAACTGATGGCAAACGTGGGAACAGTGTTGATTCAAACCCACCAAAGACTCGCCTCAGTAATCCTATATTTATATATCGATGGTGTTGCTATGGGTTCACCCCTCGGACCTGTTCTCACCAACATCTTCATGGCCAAATTCCTTGTCTACGGCTATTAGTTGTTTTGAACAATATCACCGTTATGTAGATGATATCTTTTGTGTAGCCAACAAGAAAACTAATCTGGCCCGTGTCGAGTCAGAATTCAACAAGAGCAAGGCGCATCTGTACAGAAAATACTTTGAAGGAAGAACTTCAACTAGTGAGGAGAACCTTACTAGAAAATGGCTATCCTGAGAAGTTTATCGACCGTAATTGGACTTAGCAGGATAAACCAGCCAAAACACCACCAAGGGAGAAGAAAGTGCTTTTTATAAAACTTTCAATCAAAGATGATGCCGTCACTGAGAGGGTCAGTAGAGTTTTATCCTCAGCAGTAAAATCTACATTCAATGCCGTACAGCTAAGATGTGTGTTCTCTACGTCA